GTGTATTTCACAAATTGGAGTTGAGTGTTAAATTATGATAATCTTTATCTATGTGCATACTTCTAGATTTAAGTAGAAAATCTTTTTCTTATAAGACAGGGCATTTAAGTGGTAGGAAGTTTTGTTTTTGTTTATTTTCATTTGAAAATTCTCTGAAAACATGATAATGCAGGGGACTATTGGCATTCCCTTTAACATGTGCCATGTTACACAGAGGATCTAACAGAAAAGAATCAAATGTATTTTGAAATTGAGCAATTTGTATTATGAAATGCTGTACTGCTTGGGCCAAATAACTCTACAGGTCACTGCAATTTATTGCTAACAGTATTTTTTTAAATACACCTAGAATGACGTAATCAGTTTCTCTAGTCTATATTCTGTCTTATATATACTTTTCTCATTTGGCAGAATGTTTACCGGTCGGTAGGTCTCATACATTACTCTCTACTTAATGTGCATGCAATTATTGCATTAAAACCAAAATCATTTCGTAGGCCCATGTATTTCCTCTGACAGTAAATCCTTGGTCTCCGGAAGCCAGATGCTCAGATGACAAATTTTGTGTATTAATGGGCACTTTCCTCTACTTAAATTCACCAAAGGTATTACTATGGACTTTTGTCATTACTTTCTACTGAAGGAGATGCTGCATGGTTAGTGATATTTGTTCATATAATCTGTGCCCATAGTTTTAAAATTATCATAATGTTGGGTAAGATGCTCTGTAAGCACTGTCTTTGATTTTCTATCTAGTTTACCTTTGGATATCTGTTATGCAAATATCATGACGTAACACGTTCAGTGCGGCGTGACCTCAATGTGGTCACGCTTTACCGGTTTTTCTAGCCTTTAGGATGCACAGCCGCCACGGTGTAGAGAGATACGGTGGGGACACTGGGCCACTGTTTCTCTCTACACCGTGACAGCCGCACTGAAAGTGTTAAGGCACCTTTCATCCACAGGCTATTTTATTTGTTGAATTGTGTTAGGCGCAGTTTTTCAGCCCTAGATTTTAGTAATGGTCTTTAATTTCCAGATGAATTTAACCCCTTTGAGATTCTTAGGGGTATAATCATTCTTGTCAATTCCTAAACTCTAATTTTTATATGCTTTTCTTTACATATTTCTTGTTAATTCTATAAAGGAAATTCTTATTATTTGACAATCAAATACAAGTCTTAATTCAAGGGTTATACTGTAGTTTTACATGTAACTTTCTGTTTCATTGATTTACCCTTTGTTATAGATACAGTCTTATGGCATTTTACCTAATTTTAATGATAGTTATCATTCCCTGTGCTGTTTAATGGCAGATATTGTACAGTTGAACATTTTAGTACTACATGAGCCTGTACATGTTAACATGTTCAGTGCCGAGCCATTTTTAAACCTCGTTATTCGACATTAGTGTGGTTGTATGGCACCGAGCGTGTTAATCAGTTTCAGACTGGCTTTCAAACAAGAAAGCTACCATGGACATTTTAAATCTTAAAAGGTCATATTTTGGCTGGTGAAGTGCTTTTATAGGACTGCTTGATTGCATAGCCCCTTTCAGTTTTATCATCATTTTTGTCATTGCCTTCATGCTAACTTGTCCTTTCCTGATACATATAATTTGTCTGTTGTATTTAATTTTGGAGGTACCTGTATATCTTGTCTTCCTTATTCATGCTCTGTTAGTTCCTCCTTTTTAAGAAATCTGGTGAAAATAGTAACCCATTTATTGAGGTCATTCAAGGCAGTGTTCATTTTTCCAATGAGTGTTTAATGATAGAACATACTATTTTATACTATACTTTTTTGGCATTTAAATTCGTAACACAGCATATTCACCAATCTGCCTCAAACTCCCTAAAATGGCTTTTGTTTTTTTAGAAGAAATGTCAAATAAGAAACACATTTAATCAGTGTTTTTTCTTCTCTTTTTTTTTTTTTTTTTTTAGTAAAACTGAATGATTGAACTAACTTTTTTGTTGAGTACATTTGGTGTTGTGAATTTGTTATGTAATAGTGGCCTGTCAATGTATCCATCCATGCTTTTAAAAGCATATATTGTGAAATAGAATTGATAGAAATTTGGTCTATTGTGCAAATATGAAGCACATCTGCAGCTTACAGGTTATTGTATAGATAAGTGCATGTATGTCCTCTTTTTCTATATTATTGGAAGTTAGTCAAATTGACATCCATGCTAAGTAGAGGCCGTCATCAATAATACTTCAGATCATAAAGTATCAATCATCCATCAGCTCAATTGCTTAGGTCAGTGATGTCTGTCTTACAATCTAAGGTGCACATGTATAGTCCATGGGAGTAGTAGGTAAATAATGATTTTATGGTCTTGGTAGTACTACTTACCACAAGAGGTAATAAAATGTTACTGCTGTGGATTTTGTAATTCAGTACTCTGGTACATTATTCTCATGACTTGTAGACTTTGTATCTTTATATTTCAGGTTTAATAACATGCTGTGGCAAGATTGAATACTATTTGAGTGCTATCCTCTTCTTCATGCTGCCAAATTTCTTTCAGAGAACATTTTTGGATAAATTTAAACTTCTTTTAACATGTGGTTGTAAACGTAGATATGCTTTTTTTGGGGGGTGAGTTTTGGCTAATGTGCATAGAAATGTATTGCTCAAATTGAAATTGATTCATTGCCTGTGATTGCAAAGACAACTATTATTTTGAATGTTTTGTTTTGTTTGAATATTATTGCTGAACAAGTATCTGTTGAAAGAAGTCCATTTCGTCTTAATTGAAGGCTTTTTAAGACCCTAGGAACAAGTTGCTGAGAATTAATGGGTTGGGCAGAATAACTTCCTTGAGTACTTTTTGGCCTACAGTCTTCCGATCAGTACAGTACACTATGTATTCATATTTTGAAGAAATATGCTTATTACAATCCTGTGATGAATTATTCAAATTAAACTTATTAATGCAATATAACGACTTATCTTTATTGTGTAGTTGCCTAACCAACCAAACTAACCTTGGGCTCTGTTAATATAAACTCTTCATTTCAATGTCATAGAATCTTCAATGTACTCATTTTACAGTGGTTCCAAAAGAAACTTGTTGGAACAGTACTGATGTTATTTTGTAAACTGTCTAATCAAAATTGCATGAACGCTGTTTCCTGTAAAACATCTTTTAAATAAATTGATAAATCTAAATCTCCAATGTTTTCCCATCTCCACCTGTTCCACCCACTATGTAATGAGATCAGATATGAGATTCATCAGACCACCATCAGACTAATGAAGTGTAGAGTAATTATTCATTCACATGCTATTAAATATCTTGAGGATATAAAACATGGTCATAACATGCAGAACTTTACTCACCACAAAACCAAACCCTGTGAACAAAACAGAATTGAAATGTTTCTTAGTGGCTGGAAGACGACCATGGCGCGAACAGGCGCGACAGTTTTAAACTTTTCAAATGTGCCCGCTCAAACTGTTATTCGAAAAAGGCGCGAGAACGGCAGCGCGCTTAAGCGCGCTCTGCGCGAATGAAGATCGTGGCGGCCGTGCATTCAGTTGCACCGGGCTTCTCTTCGCGATAGCCATTGTGATCCCTAACGACGTCTGTCCTTGGTGAGTTTAATCCGTTCAGTTTACGTGCATCTGTGACTATTTAGTGAAGAAATTGAAGAAAGGCGTGACATTTAATCGTAGGTGTCAAATTGATTCAGCCCCGAGTTCTTATTAGCCCTGAACTCGGTGCTATTTATCGTCCAAGTTGATGTCCTTGCGCGAGTTCTTGCCTATTGAATGGCGCCATCCCTAGGGAAAAGTCTCTGACAACCGAATTGTTTACATTTTCTGCGGCTTCCTTTGGTTTTGAATTAGCTGTATTTATGTCGCTTTCTTGTTTGTAACTGTGGAAGATTCAGTCACATATCTTTTGTCAAATTCGAAAGTATGGTTAAGCGCTGCAATTCGCTATGTCGGTTCTCTTTTCTTTTTAAGTTTTTGAGAGTATGATTTGTGTTCTACAAACTATCTATACACTTCAGTCACTTTTCTTCCTACTTATCAAATCAAGGCTGTCTTATGTTGTCCGTGGAATAGTTGTTTTGTTTTGTATCCAGGGAAACTGACGCTCTGCCGCTTCAAGTCACCGGCACGTCGCCTTTCGCACTTGTACATAGTCCTACTACCACTTGTTAGCTTGATTAGTTTTTGAGTCGAACTTCTTCAAGTTGTGCTTGCCCAGTTTCAAACATGTATAATGCAGCTTTTAGATCTTGCTCGACTGCGTCATCACGGTTATTGCGTTTCATTGCGCGTTTGCTTGGGTTTAGGCACTAAAGACGGTTGCCCGCGCGCGCGCGTTCACGCGTGCGAACATTGTAGGTTACCTTGTTTCATTAGAAACTGATAATGAGAGGGAGAGAGTTTTGGTTTTTCACTCACGCTGTTTATTATCTTTGTCTCCAGTCATAGTTGACTCCATTGTTATGGCATTTGTTGGGTTGCTTGGTTAGGTTAGGGTAGGTCTAATGACAGGGGCGGCCCCTAAGTCCTTTAGTGTCACTTTGTATCTTTAATATCTCTTAAATTTGTCTACAGAATTACCAAAATGGCGGCCGAACCTGATATGCCCACTTTCAAATGCGTCCTGGTTGGTGATGGTGGTACTGGAAAGACCACATTTGTTAAACGCCATCTTACAGGAGAGTTTGAGAAGAAGTACGTTGCAACCCTTGGTGTAGAGGTTCACCCCCTTGTGTTCCACACTAACAGAGGACCAATTCGGTTCAATGTCTGGGACACTGCCGGACAGGAAAAGTTTGGAGGGCTCAGAGATGGTTACTACATCCAGGTAAATTCAGCTAACATTGCTTTCATTATAATAACTTCTTATTATTTGTTTTATTTATTGACTTCTTCTGATTTCGTAGGGTCAATGCGCTATCGTCATGTTTGATGTCACATCCAGAGTTACATATAAGAATGTCCCCAACTGGCACAGAGATTTGGTTCGAGTCTGTGAAAACATCCCTATTGTTCTATGTGGTAACAAGGTTGATATCAAGGACAGAAAGGTGAAGGCCAAAAGCATAGTATTCCACAGGAAGAAGAACTTGCAGGTTAGCAAAATGTGGTTCTTGTCGTAATTATGTCTTTAGCTTGGTTTTTCATGGATACTAATTATGATTCTTTATCTAGTACTATGACATTAGTGCAAAGAGCAACTACAACTTTGAAAAGCCCTTCCTGTGGCTCGCCCGCAAGCTGATTGGAGACCCCAATCTTGAGTTTGTTGCCATGCCTGCCCTTGTTCCTCCAGAAGTTACCATGGATCCCCAATGGCAGCACCAGATCGAAAAGGATCTCAAGGTAAGCTTCCTTGCCTGCCTACTTGCTTTTGTTCACTTTATCTCTATATTTCATCATTGTATTTCATCTCTTATAGGAAGCGCAAGAGACAGCACTGCCAGAGGATGAAGAAGAGCTGTAAATCTGTGAAAATTAACAAAATTGTACTGAGTGAATTGGAAGACCTGTGTTTTTATGCCATGGGCATATACCGTGTTGTGTGTAACAAGGGAAGGAAAATAGTCACGTGTGTGTGAATTGTCTGCCGGAAAATGCCTTGGACTGTTAAATATTTTTATAGTATGTGTGTCGCACCTGTATGGATGTTTCTTTCCCTTACGTTGTTTTTTTTAATTTAACTGTTTTGTCACAGCATTAATACTAATATCTGGGACTTAATGTATTTGTCTGAATTGTAAGGTACTCTTTTTAAGCATAGGATTTGGCTAAATATCCTTTTATTATTTGTTTAATGACAACCATGCTGTTACTGTAATGAAATCCTCCTGATACTGTTACATCATGAGGCATAGCTCTCAGACTCGTTCACTTGTCAAGGTATGTCATGTGCTAACGAAATAAATTTCAAATTCTGGATGCTGAGAACTGTTTGGTCAAATTTACTTCCCTTTTGTTATTTAACCAATAGATTTACGAGTCAGGATGAGCTGCGCAAATTGATTCGGAGTTTGTGAGTCATGTCAGTTCGTTGGGTGTGAATGAGTCACCTGGTTCTGGTGTTGGTTCGCAGGAATTTCAAAACCGAATTTCGCGCGTCTGGCACGTTCGGCCTTACGTCATCGGAGCCTTCTCGAACTTACTTTCCCGCCCTGTTCTACAAAGGGAAACGGAAGTGTTACTTTTTCTCCCACCCTACTTCCAGCGGCGTCGCGGCGTCACCGTTAACTTCCCCCCTCCCCTTCCCCACCCTCTCAATTCTAAAGAGCAAGGTTTGAGTCGGCGCGGCGACTGTCAGGACAGGAGCGGTACGCGTACCCTGCCACGGGTTCAAGTCAAACTTGTGACGGGTTGCCAGCGTGTCCGACAAGTCAGAGTGGTCTTGCTTGCCGGCTTGTGAGGTCGTCCATATTCCTCTAGCCCAACTACCCCTTGAAATTCTTGAAAATGGCTGGAGTTACATCAATCAATATCACCCTCTTCATTCTGTGTGCGGCTGGCGTCGGTGCTTCGTATTATTCCATTTTTGTGGAAAAAGCTCTGGAGCAAAATGAGAAGTACCAGGCTATGTGTGACATCAATGACCAACTAAACTGCTCCAAAGTTTTTGGTTCCAAGTAAGTTTTTTGAGATTCATGGGTCTTTTTATTTCAGTTGAGGTTATATTACGCGGAGGTTCAACGTCACTTATGTGGGCGCCGGCCGGTGGCCGGTACCACTCATGATCATCTAACGTTTTGGTCGAATCGTCCACTTGCTGAAGCCTTTTTCGTTGTAAGGCTTCAGCAATATTCCAAGTTGTACCATTTAATTGAGTGGATGTTCCCAATTTCTGGTGGCTTGTACTTTACACCGTTTAACTATTTCAATTATTTCAGTCTAAATGCAACAGCAGCTTAAAAATTCACTTCCATTGCTGTGTGTAATTTTGTGTTTGTGGCTCTTATTTGCTCACAGGTATGCCAAAGGATTTGGCGTCGTTGGAAAGTACCTTGGTGAGAAGCACATACTGAATCAGCCAAACGGAGTTTATGGCGTTGCCTTCTATGGTCTTCTTGCCCTTCTGAGTAAGTTATTTTTTTAATTTTTTTTTGTGGTGTGTGTGCTGTTTTTATCACTTTTGAGCTGGTACTTTTAATTTTCTGTCATTTCTAATTTCCTATTTTGTTACAGGTTTGATCAATGTGTCCTTCCTTGTCAATATTCAGTTGCTTCTTGCGTTCTTGTCAAATGGACTCTCTGTCTACCTCGGCTATCTCTTGTTGTATGTCATTAAGTCAATTTGTGTAGTTTGTGTGGGCACATACGTCATCAACTTCCTTATTCTCATCTTCACTATTGTGAAACTGAGGCGCATTTCTAAGAAGCTCAGCAAGAAGGCCCAGAAGGCAGAAAACAAGCAAAAGAAAGCAGCCAAGAAGAACAAGTAATGTCCCTCTCTCCTAGCATTTCTTTTCTATTGTAGATGCTGGCAGTGCCAGAAAGGAAGAATATTTATTTGCCTCCTGAAGAAAAAATTGCCTATTATCTGATTTAAATTTTACCAGTTACCTGGTATTCAAATACTTGTACTGTTGATCAGTACTTTGCAACTCAACATGCGGTTTCATTTTAATTAATTTGAATATTGCATTTTCTTTCCCCTCTGAAGATTTTTCTCCAGATAGGAGAGTTTAATATTCTCTCTTCTTTAATGACTTATCTTCATTGTAGAACACCATTGTTAATGATTTTTCAAGTCGAAGTATTGATACGGGTATGAAGTATCTTCCAAATTTTACTGTTACAAATTAAAATTATGCTTTCAATTAATAGAATGAACAATTCAAATGAAATTTTTTGAATAGATTGTTTAACTTATGTTAATATGCAAATTGTTACTGAGATTGTCAGATTTGCAAGTTGGGGACCATGGCTATCCACACTCAATGTCTTTTAAATATGTGTGTTGTACAAAGAGATTTTGTGTCATACTATTTTATCTTGTGTAGACTTGACACATTAATGTTATGAAGGAAGTCTGTGAAAATAGACTGGTGTGTATGATATTGTAATGAGCTTTACTAAGCTCTGTATCTTAGATCATTGAACCTGTTTACTTTCCCATTGATATTCATTAGACTGAAGGTTGTGAATTTGGTAGTTCAGTATTGTTGACAGCTGCCGAAGGTGCTCTTAAACATTCCAAACATTCCAAATTTAGAGTTTTGTCATTGTCCGCTATCTTTCTTATAATCTAAAGGTTTCTTAAAATTTATATGTAACTGCCAAAATTTCAATTTCCAGGAAAAAGTATCTTGCTTTAGTGGATTCTTTTTGTTTTATTTGTGAATTTTGTACTTAGTAGCTTATTTGAGCCCAAGTGAACCATGACAACCTTCTTAATGGTTTTGTAATCTATCTTAAATAAGTTATTTGTGTTGTACATTGGTGTCTGCGATTGACTGAGTTTTCTATAATTTCCTGCACAGGCTTAACTTGTTATGGAAACTGTCTTATGTAGCTTTTCTGTCTTCTTTTCCTTAGCTCAAGTTGATTAAGGAGTTTATAATTCTTGCATTTTATAAATGTGTGTGATGTGTGATTATTACATTCCAATGGTAACTATGAAGTTGAATCTGTATTTTTATTATAGCTTGGAAATATAACTAAATGGATGTCCTCATTTAATGTTTTGTCTGTTTGAAGTATCCTACTTGTCCTTAACGTTTACAGAACACAAGTTGTATTTGCAAAACCTCTCACTTTATGGTCTGGTGTCCAGATATGTTTTTACTTGCAACATAACATTAAACACGGTGAATAGAATATTCCTACTGGTCATTACTCTTTTCTAAGGGGAATGAATAAATTGAACAAATCGAACAAATAAGGACCACAAGGACTCTAAGAGATGAAACGGACAATTTCTCATCTTTTGTTCCTTTCGATGTATCGCGAAGGCCATACAAACAAACAAAGCAGAAGACAGGCTATAATATGTAGATCGGCAAAACTGAATCTTCTGACAAGACTTGACAATTTGTGGTCTTCTGGCACATTTTGACGTCTTCTATGCGCTTCTGTTTCCGTGAAGTTTATTTGGACATTTAGTTTGCAGAAAAAGTCCGCAACTGGTCTCTCGATCTAAAAATTGGTTGACATTTTCCTATAACTCCTCGCGACGCTGCGCGGGGATCCGTCTGCATTTGTCAATGCGGGTGATTTGCGAGAGAGGGTTTGTCAGTAAGTGTCATTTTTGTTACGCGTTGGTACACTATCACGCACAGGTTTAACGTCAATGATTTATATTCCTCGAAATTTTTGAACTTGAAGAGTTCTAATGGCTATGGTTTGTTTAACTGTTTGTTACCTTCACTTAGGCTTAACTTCAGGCAAAAAAGTGTCTAATTCCCCTCTCTTGTTAGTTTAGAACTTCCAAGTAACTTGGCTAAATTTTAAAATTTGCTGTCTTTTAAAAAAAATTCTCCTACTTTAATCTGACGTTAAACGGTTAAACGTGGCTTTATTTCATTCAAGTTCCTTTAGAACAGATACTCGAAATGGTAACAATTTCCTTTTGCTGTTACTAAATATAATCTGCCGATTTATTTTGTTGGGGAATTTACTGGGGAAACCCAAGCTGTACATCAATTATATAAACCCTTAAGTGCTATCTCTCTCTCTCTCTCGCTCTCTCTCTCTGCCGTGAGGAATACGTTCAATCCTACATGCTCAATCGCAATACAGTCTCTTCTCAAAAATATATGTTGTATGTTGTGATGAGCACCGTAATTACACTACAAGGCAATTCCTCCCCAAATCTCATGTATTGATTCGCTTTTTGATCTGTTTTCAGGTGAAATCCTTAACTCCAAGCTGTTTACTCAGAACGTTGGTTTGGACTCAATCATGGCTGTCACAAATGGCGAAAAAATTGCAAAATTGGAAGCAAAAGTTGCCTCTTTGAGACTGCAGTATAACTTCCTTAATGATCATATAAAAATGATAACTGGGAAAAATCCAACTCTTGAAGCTAAAGTGAAGGCTGTCATGGACTGGAATCAAAACCTTCAATTGAAGGTTTTAGGAGAAGTAGATGGTATGTTGTTTGAAGCTGCTAGTTAAAGTTTTGTGTTAAGTTGAGGTAATAATTCTGGCCTTCTTCTTAGCTTTGCGATTGCGTGAGCTGGCTGCTCAAGACACCCCTGGAGAGGAAAAGGAAGCTCTAGATGATAAAGGAATGAAAACTTGAAGTTGTTACTGAAGTTTTTGTGCTGGTGCCAGCTCTCCCGGTTAAGAACATAATAACCCTTCAAAATATGTATCTTTGCTAAAACTTGTTTTAAGTTTCCGCCCAGCTGGGCTTGAACTATTTTCTTTCAGGTAATTGCTATCTTTTATAATTTAAAAGAGAGTTATTTATTTTGCGCTCTTCTTTAATTTCCATTTCTTTGCAATGATGGCAAATATCTGAGAGTGTGCTGAAATCACTTGCATTTTCCCATTAGTACCTATGTTTTGGGTGTATCTCAGCAGTAATGATAACAATACCTTTCAATCTTGTTCAGTTCTACAAATAAGGTAGGGAGGTGTAAAACATTCCAACAAAGTTTTTTTTTTCACCTCTGCCTTTTTTTGGGGGACATTAACTTTTGAAGACAATTCTTGAGCAATTCTGTTACATTGGCCTCAACATTTTCTAACCATTGTGCCAATTAATTTACTACTGTATCCAAGCATCTTCCAAAGTAAGAGCTTGTTTTAGAAATTTGATTCACCCATCCCAATGCATTAGTGAGACCAGTAACTTTTAAGATGCATTTGCTAGTAATTCATATCCCACAACCAACTGTTAAGTTACAGGTAATTAAAACTTTTAACAAAGTTTGCAGTTCTCAAAGTAGTTTGCAGTATTATAATATTTTCAAAATATGTTTAGTTTCTCAGTTTTTCTCTCTAGTCATAGGCTTGAAACCAAGCCCAAAAGATAAATAAGCACACTTTGCCAGCGGTAAAGTATGTGTTTAATCTTCTTTCTGTCGTTGGTTTGACTGATTTTGTTTTCTTTTGTATGGTTGTGTGATCTCTTCATGGTATCTTTTTAAATTGTTAAGAAGTATTGAAGACCTACCATCTCAACTTATTATTTTGCTGGGTGTTTGGTCCTTAATACAAAATTTTTATTGTTTTGTAGTTTACATTTTATTCTGTCTGGTTTTGATCATTTGTAATATTTCTACTCCCCCCCCCCTTTTTTTTGGGGTCTGAAGCAAAGTATAGTAAAGTTAATGTTGTTTGTGCTGATCAAAGTGACTGATGAATGAGAACCTTCAGAGTTGAGAAGATTTGTTATACTCTACCTACTTAATAGGTAAATGGTTAAGGAGTTTTAGGTTAATTTTTATCAGGCTTTCCTGTTTCTTTGATTATTCATTATTCCTTACTCTAGTAGGAGTACAATCTGTGATTTCATTTGTAGAAATAATTCCAAATTAGAGGTAACATTTTATTTATTGTCGTTGACTTGAAATCTGTGACATTCCCTGCCTAATGCATTAGATTTTCTGTCAAATAAATTATAAATAATTATTCAGTGACTACTAAATGAACAAAACTAGAGTTTCATTTGTTTTCCCCATTGCTCTTAAAACCTGGACATGTACCATGCCTCTTGAAAATTTCTGGAGCTACAGAGTAAACTTCACATACAAAATATGCTGAAACAAAAACCCCTAAATCAAGGATTCACAGATATGTTAACCAATAAAACAAGAATATAACAAGGATGGAATGTAGACATTTTAATATGTGAGGTGCTAAGTACTGTTTAAGATAATAGAAACAATAACATTTATCACTAACATCAAACATCACACTAGGCAAATTCTTACAAAACAAATATAAAATAACGACAGATGACTAGTTATTGTCAAATCACAAAGTCTATGTTGAAATTAGAACACATTCTAAAAAAAAAAATTAATTTCCTCAGTAAAACTGTAGATGATAATACACATTAAGGTTAATTTAAATCTAAGACAATGTATGTGCCATAGCATAAAATGTGATAATTCTCCTCATAAAAATTTGTGATCATAAAGAACACTGGCAAGACTGAAATGGATGCACCCTTTGGCACTGTGAACACATCAATTTGAGCAAAGAAACTATGCATTAATGCTATGCACAATGATTTCACCTAAATATAACCAACTGACTTAGATTTTAATTTATCTCATGAAAAAATGTTGCTTTGCCCTTAAATTAATGGAACTCAGCTCCCTTGTCCAGTTTCTTCACTAGGCGGGTTTCAATTTAAGACATTAAGTTCAATTCATACTAAAGTACTAATAAGATCTTAAGGAGAGAGAGAGAAAGGGAAAGTTATTTCTCAGATAATTGCTTGATGTTCTCTGAGCAAAACTCTGAATTGTAAAGAACAGAACCCAAATTCTCAAACTCAAAGTTGGATTATGTTGAGCAATCATATGGTTAAGTACACATTCATTAAACAATTGCATAACATAATACTGAAAAGATATTCATCGAAAGTCACATACAAAACCATTTTGACTTATTCTGAATACTACAGTATGTAGTGGAAAAAGTTGAGGAATTCCTATTAGTACCTAATAGGACAACAGCAAAGGGAGGTCATTTTCCAAAAAATTGTCACTGCCTTTAACATTTAGACAAAACGCTCAAAAGGACTCCAAAAGATATTTTTCAAAAACGTCTATTTGATAAAACATGAATTTTCACTATCAATATATTTTTTTTAGAATCACAAAAAGGAAGACAATTCAGTATACTCTCCACACTACTCTCACAATACACTGCAAGCTGCAAGTAAACACTGCACACGGAATGCTTTTTTGATATGAAAGGAGGCAGACAGCATTCTCTAACAACCTAATGCTGTACAAAGCACAGGTGCAGAAAACACGACTAAAGTTTTAAGTGCAAATAGTTAACTTGTACCAATGAAAAGATGGCTCTCATCTCAATAGGGACCATTTGTTCAAGAGGCAGGATAATGTTAGAAATTGAGTGTAGACTGATGAATACAAATGAAATTAATCAAACAGACATTACCCAAAACTCCTATCAAATTTGTGTCTCACCAACTATGAATTTTAACAGTACCCAATATGCCCTGGGTAGTGTCAGAATTATCCAATACCTTCAGTTAAAGTTTGACATTTCTTAAATAAAGTCCAACATTTCTTGGGCAATGTCCAACATTACCTAATTTCCACACATTACTCTTCACATATGCACTTACATCGGCACATTCCAGGTTCTCGATAAATTAAAAGGTATTATTTTAATAGGACTACCTGAGATAATAGGTATAATTGTCATATGAAGCATGATGGGAAATGGAGAACATAGGTCCCTTTTTGCACAAATTGGGCAAATCATTGATTCCTTGATACTAAAAACATTTTGAAAGGAACATCCAGGGTGTGCCAACATAAGACAAATAATTGTGATATGAAACATGAGTTATGGTGTTATGGATGACAGATCCTTATTGGAGGGCCCTTACTTATTGTTCAATGAGAGGAACAGTGCCTTGCTGCCAGGACAAGAGATCATCTAGAACTGCCTCCATCAGCGGATTTCCACCAAGACGTTGAACCTACAGGAAATAAGACTGTTTTTAACAGATTGTTCCTTAAAAGTAGTTTGTTTGAAAGAGAAATTAATTTACATGGAAAGATTGAAAAAAGAGTTGAACAAAAGATTTCATGAAAGGCGAAGAAATGGATAAAAGAAGAGGACTTTACCTCAGCTCGGGCCTCTGCATCCAGCTGCAGAAGAACATCTCGGGTATGACTAAAAGACCCAAACTTTTCCAAAAGTTGAATGCAGTATCTCTTTACTTCGACACTGTGAGTACGCTGCCGGAGAATATCTTGAAAATTTGTTAAGAAATCAAAACAGCACAGAAAAGAAGACTAACTAATCTTATGAGAACTAAAAAGGATACGAATGACCTGAAGGTCATCTGGTCTGCTACGAATAGCATGGATCACAGGGAAACTAAATTTTCCCTCAGTCAAATCTTCACAATAACTCTTATTGTCAGAATACTGAAAACAGAAGGAACAAGAATTTGTTAAAAAATGAAGAAGCTACCTGATAGACAAAGCATTTCTGAATATAACAACAGACCTCCTGTAAACACAAATTACAGTAATCATCTCTAATCTGGAAGTATAGCCCCAGTATGCCTGTGAGCTTTGTAAAATCCTCTTCACTTTCACTGAACAATCTCATTAATCGAATAGCAAGCATAAATAAGCCCCCCGTTTCTGAAAAAAGTTTGCAGTATTCAGTAAATGTATCATAATACGAAATATATAAGAGCAAGGGAAAGTTAATGTTTTTATTTTACTTCTTATGGTCATCTGTCTATATTCTTCTTCAGTTGGACAAGAAAAGTTATCTCTCCAGTATATTTCCATTCCTTGTCCTCGGTGTAGCTCAAGCAGCTGCTCGGTATAAACTTGCGTAGCCTAAAGAATTCAAGGCAAACATACACTATTTAATATGCCAACATACTCTGCACATATTTTAGTCTTACTTGAAACTCTCTTACCTCGGGATGATTTAAATTGAGAACTCTCTCCAAAGCAATAAACATAACATAGTTAGCAGCATTGATGGTACTTGCAACACCATAAATGGAATGAGCAACAGGAATTCCTCTGCGAAGCATTGAATTATCCTGGATATCATCAATCCTGCAGATCACAAAAATGAAATGAATTAAAAGCTCCAATGAGTCAAATGAATTTAACGTGCAATTATGAATACTTACAACAGACTGGAATTATGCAGCATTTGGATAATATCACCTACAGCCGACAGTTTCTCTGCAGGAATTTTAAGCCAGTAGTTGAAAGCATGAGCCAATTTTGCTCGAACTTGTTTCCCTGGGACTTGCAAAATATATTGGAAAGGTTGAAGAAGTTTCTGGAGGAATCAAATTCAGAAGTTAGTGGAATTTGACAATTGGGTGTCAGAAAGGGAAAATAAAAACCATTTGATATGAAGGTAATGCTATCAAAAGAGCGATAGAGAAAGCGAAATTTGTCTCTCTATGAAATGACTAAGCAAACTTTTTTGTCAGATTGACAAATCTTTCGTCGAATGGAATGTGAAGTTATTGTTAATAAATTTTAGGTTACCTTGTATTGATTTTATTCAGAAAGAGGTAATTCACAAATTTACTCACCTCATCCTGATCTTTCTCGCCACTTTTGCTGTAAGGCAAATCACTGATACACGGTCGACTATCCATTCCCACGGGTGAACAAAGAAATCCTCAGATGATTCAGAAATCACGAAACGTCAGTCACAACTTAGTCGGCAAAGCTTCTCCTCCCACTCTACCGACAGCCGACAGTTTCGTCTGCACTGCAGAGCAAGATCTGCAGTATGAGAATCTTATCAAGCAAAACCATATCGTGGATACCGGCGGCGTCCAGGATGGTCCTCTCTTTTTATGTGTTGTAATGCACAACTGTTTGTTTTGAACAAAGTTTGCCAATCTCAAGGATTCTGGTCCTATCTGATCGGTTTACGTGTTTCTGCAGATGAAAAACTCCGGTTTTTATAAAATTGATAACAGTTTGGATTAAGTATACTTTAATTGTAACTTTTCAAAGGTTTCAGTCACTTTAAGAACTTTCAATAGAGCTTTACACGATTCTGTACAAGTCTAAGCGAATGCCAATTTAGGTTGTACACTTCGAGCAAGAGCAACATATGAAGCCATGATTTCATCTGGGTTCAGAACAGAACAGACAGGACAATCTTTATATAGAACACAATTTACGAATAGGAAAGATTTAAATAAAATATTGGCTTGGGAGGAATCTAATAGTAGATTAGTTGCTCTGTCTCTTCCAATTCCATAACTTACCCCAAACTCTCAATGAAAAACAGAGAGGATCGGAAAGTTCACAACAAGTCTAACACACCGTAAAGAAGAACTGTATATTTCATAAGGTGTCCAAAAAATTCATTTTCATCTTACAATGAGAATACAGTTACACCAAAAGTGCTACAAATAATATGTCACCATTTTAAAAATTGCACTTAAATTCTCAAAAAACGAAGTCACTTGACCATTTAATAATTAATATGCCATTGTCAACTTAGACTAATTATTCTTGTGCATAAACATACTGATTTTGTCTCTAATATCATGCTTAGTAAAACTTCCTTACAACACTGACAAATTGATCTACAACACAATACTCATAAAATGAAGAGGTTTGGGCAAGGCCACTAATACTGCCATCAATAAATAAACTACAAATGCACAAACATTGTGCTAAATTAAACATGGCAGAACACAAATTGGTTTTTGATGGTGTTAACACATTTGGAAGATCCATGCCCACATCTACAGGGTGAAAACAACAATAACAAGGCTAAAAGAAAATATTTTGTCTGGTTTAAAAATTAACAACATTAAAATCAAAGAAGTCTGGTTTCAGTAGCTGTTCAGGATGGTGGAAACCGAAAAACAAAATAAAATACAAACATCAAAAAACAAAAAATGATGTTAAAATGCACTCACACCATGAATCACATGGAATCGGAACCACTCATACACATTTAAATTATCAGTATAATGTATCAGTATAATGTATTCACTAATTTGTCTTTCATAATGACACATTAAAAGTATCATGGAAATATTTATGAAAATTCTAATGATCCATATGGATAAGGAATGGAAATTGCTAAAAGGAAATAAGAGGATGAAAATGTGTGAGATTGACAATATGCTTGAAATTAAAATGAAGAAAAATGGGATATGGCAATCACTGACATCAATGAGAGTAGGAAGGAGCCTTAAATCAGTGGGCCAAGTACAATATGATGGAACATCCAAGTAAAATCAAGGGGTTTTACAATTAAATTAGTCTAACAGTAGTAACTTAGAGGTTTGTTCTCCAAGAAACTTAAATTGAAGAGTAGTAGCGATGGGCTCAGAGCATGTAAAAGCATTGTGCTTTACAAGTCTGTGTCATACCATGCAGCCACCTGGTTGTTATCTTGAGGAGGCTGGGGAAGTTCATCCAGATGATCAAAGTCAAGGTCAGCAGAGTTCTGTCCCACATCCATAGCATCATCCATAGGTCCATAGGTCGAACCACTTCCTCCTGCTCCATGATGTGAGCCAATGTCAAGCCCTTGCAGCGACTCTATGGGTATCGCGTCATACCCTGTAGGAAATGAGATAAAAAGTGAAAATCAGTCGAGCACTTTGAAGAGAGAAGAATTGAGAAGAAACTGTAAAAAATTATAGATGGATAAACTTAGTCAAAAAGTTAAATCCTTGGAAGTGAGAAGACTGTAAAAATGTGAACAGAAACTAACATGCAGAAAAAATAGTATCCTTAAAAGGTAAATAAAAATTTGAAAACAAAACTACCTCTATTGCGGTAATGTATAAACTACATCCTCAAATGTTTCAAGCCTGAAGTTTTGCCACAGGTAGTCACAACACGCTTGCACACTACAACAAGTGTCTACTACGGATAATATCTTGGAAACAAAACTACTCATAAAACAAGCCAAACTTCAAATGCAAAATATTTGTCTATTTCAAGATATGCTGCCACTACAAGGTAAAAAGCTAATGGCACACAACTCTAATATGAAACTTACGGTCGCAAATTAGCTGTTTGAGTCTGCAACGGTGTAAGAGAGATGGACAGAATTCTTGTTTGATTATATTGTATGTCACATTACTTAAAGTAATATTTGACACCTTCAAATTATTAGCATGTTGTTGTTCTTTTTTTAAATACATAGCGGATGTTTTCTTTTATACTGATCATAATTAATTTTAAAAACCTTGCGCCTTATTCCGCATTCTATTTCCTTTCAGATAATATTTGTGCTCAGTGGTTTAATTGTGCAAAACTTACCTGGTTGTTGGTACTGCCTACCGCCATGGCTGCTGTGCACACTAGGAGGGCCTTGGCCATACAAACCATCATAGTTCTGTACCTGCTCAGGGCCAAGCATGTCCTGCAATTTGAATTGGACCATAAAGCAAAGTTGTGAAAGATATATAGCTTTAAGTGTGTGTTTGAGTGAGAGCACGCGCGCATCTACTGACAAAAAACATTTCTCACAGTGCCAGGCTAATAAAGCAAACTTTGCTTCACAACAGACCATAAGCCAATTCACTGAGCATAAAAAGTGCAAAGCAATGCACATATGTGCTTTTTGCAAGTGGCTGTGCATTTCTCATCACACACATCTAACAATTATTAGATCAAAATTATATAGTAACACAGCTACTTTTCTGCATGATACAAAAAGAGTATGCAATACAGTACAGTACTACCATAGATATTGAAATCAATTTACTGCAATCAAAACTCATGCAATGAAAACATGAAAATCAAACAAAACTATTCTAGAATAAAATACTTCAAGAAACCTTCAAAGGCAAAAATAATAAGTATTGTCATTTAATCTGTGTCTTAAGCTCATGGGCTTCCTCGGCTAACATTGTAGCTCAAAAGGCAAGATAAAATGTGCTAAAATAGTGAGGGAAAATAACCAACACCAATGACAAATACATTTAATCGCCCATTAATTCAGAAGTTACTGTAAAATTTTCATCTTAGCTATGATGAACTGTACCTGCAACTCAGGGGTCATTCCCAAGTCTCCATTCCACATGTTCTGGTCCTCCCTGAACAGAGAATTTGTCAGTTCCATGGACAAACGCTTCTTGTAATCCTGAGGTTTGTCTTCAGACATGCGGAAGAGGACTGCAGCTGCATAAGTAGCTAGATTAAAAAGATCATGTTAAAAAATTAGGATCAGCAAAAGAGAATGTGTAAATAAAACCACAAGAGAATTCACATACCAACGCCTTCATTTTGAGAGTGAAGCAGTTCAGTAAGGGGAGATGTTGCACCTTCCTGTTCAATCAACTCTGCACCTTCTTTATCAGCTGCAAGTTCACAGAGAACTCCAGCTGCAACTCTTTGAATATTCTCAATCTCATTAAAGAGGAGCTGAACAAATATTGGTACAACCATCTGGTTGCGAATGACTGTACGATTGTGTGATTCCCTTGCTAAAATGTGCAGGGCACCAACTGTGCCCTCTACAATTTCTTCCATGCGGACCCCTTCTGCATATGCACCAGGCGGCTGACTTCCGCTACTTGCCACAGAAGATCTCTGCAAAACAAAAGACAGATGAAGCAATTACTGCAGAATTCTAATAAGAGACGAAATACTTTAGGGATAATAGATAGATAAGGATGTTTACAAACCCTCTGAGTATCTTGGAAAGCACGCATGAGAAGACGCACAAGGTGGTGTATAGCACCATGTTCTCGTAATGGCGTGTGATTGGCAGCACACAATGCAAGATTTCGTATGAGGCCAATGACGGCTTTCACCAAAGGCCATCTTGAAGGAGGATGTAACAGTTTTACTATCACCTGAATACCATAGTTCATCCTTACTGCATTTTGAGCCATCTCAGATTCAACATGACGTGAAGTCAAATGGCGGAGAGCACAAACCTGCAATACACACAAAAGTTTATAAGATAGAACAAATAACACCTACAGATCCCTGATGGACTTGGGGATATTGCAAGGATTGTTGAGGAAAGAATTCCGTAGAATTCCGTAGGGATAGTCCTTAAACAGTCCTTAGGTATAATCCCAAATGTGTCAAATTGAATATCTCAGGGATGTCCCAGGGGACACTTGGGGGATTTGTCCCTGTAGTGATGCCACGCCGTACTTGTCATATATCCTGTTTAGTTTTAAATTATTAGGAGATCCATAGCAACATTTAGCTTATAGTTTGTCAAAAATCGTGTTGAGTGAGACGCTACTTCTCACCTAGGGAGAGCATATCTGGGATCGAGGCGGACTCCGTCAACTAAAGGGAGGTCCATACACCCTATTGAGTGAACGTTGTCTATGACCAGCGAGAGCGGTTTAAGATTTAACGCAGAGGAAAAACTATTGATCCGATTCCAAAATATA